GTCAATATAGTGATGTAAAAAACTTAATACATCATTCAATCCCGACAGTCATCTTACATAAAAAACTGTTCAATTTTATTTTTGGTAGAATGTATACAAAAGTTGTGTACCCATTACCCATCATAGAAAATATTTACATATATTATACTTATATAGAAGCATTACTCCGCACTATTTTACCGACCAAATTGAATGCAGCACCGCCAAGGGGATTGTAATAGAAGTAATTTTAATAAACCACGAAATTTGAATGTTTTCGGTATATTTATATATATATATACAGTGTGTCCCCGGATTGTGTCCCCGTAAGGTATAATTGACGAAAAATTTTGGAGCTCATTTTTTCTTTTATATGCTAAATTAATAAAATTTGGCATATCACTATAATTTAACATAACAAACATTTTATTTTAATCAACTTTTGTTGTACATTGCTCAGAAAGACCACTTTACCTGCAACGATTAACAAACTTCTTGCGTTAACTTTGGTACTTTGAGGATATTTGACGTAAAACTTGGTTATATTTCGTTTTATGACGTCCAGACATTAATTGCAAAAGATGGAATTTGAATTCAAAAATTTATCGTCAATTATACCCTACGGGGACACAATCCGGGGACACACGAGTTCAATTATACTCCGGTTTCCACTTCTTAGTTTAATTGATAAATAGAACACAATAGTTTATTAAATAAATTTATTTTTTTCTCTTTAGTAAAATATGATCGGCTTGAACAGCCAATGTGTTCTTAGAATTTAGTTTTCTAGTTTTACCTTTTATATGTTATTTATCCTTTTACAAAAGTTAAACAAAATTACGGTATAAATTTATAACGGTATAAACGCCACGTAACTTATACCATTATTGCACCCGTCTACAATACGGGATAAGTGATTTTCTCTCACAATTCTGATTCAGTTGACAGAACATAATGCGTATTTATGTTAAACGATGATAAATATGAATTTTTTTAATCGTTTTTAACAAAAATCTCATTTTCTTAAAATTTGGCGTATATCCCCTTCTTGTGCCATAGGCTCTTCAATTATCTATAGGTATAGTTAGGTATAGGACATATAAGATATAAAAGATGTAAAATGAGACACCGAAGACGAAATATGGGGGTGCCATTTAAAAAAATGAAGTTATGGTACTTCCAAATTTCGAAAAGTTAACGCGCCGTAGTAAAGTGACCAAACGTTCTAGACTCCATCATGTTGTTTAAGCATGTTCTGAATCCTAAATTGATATCCCAAAAATCGAGTGTTCTCTGATTTTTTGAACAAATGTCTGCTGGAGCAGATTTTTCTCGAAAAATTCGAATAACTCGAGAACGGCCGAATCAAATTACAAAAAGTAAAGTTATTCATAAACCTTGAAAACGGACAAATCCAAATATGCATAAATATACAGGGTGTTCCATTTAATAAAATAAAGTAGGTGGCGACTTCCGGTATAACCGGAAGTGCTAGAAATCTGAAAATATTTTAGTCGAAGAGAACGCTATTGATAATACTTAAATCTGTATTTTCAAATTTTTTATGTTATTTATTTTATCCAGAACCCCAGAAACGTCTAATGGACGGTCGTCGTGCACTGAGAGAAATGGATTGTACTATGCACTAAAAATATACTATAAGGTATAATGCTTTACTACGAAAAGTGACAGTGAGACGAGATTGTATTTAGTACAATAAATATAATGAATATAATAAAATGAATTGCTGCATGTATAATATTTTTTCTATAATACGATTCGTACAATCTATTTCTTTCAGTGTGGATGATCCTGTATATACCGGGTGTCCCTCAAAAATGGCTCACCCCCATATTTTTTTTTATTATTAGTGATATAAGAAAACCATTTGGAATGCATAGTTAGGTCGCTAAAACGGATTATTACGACATGAAATCATTCTTTTTGTACTTCCGGTTACACCGGATGTGAGTACTAATTTCGCTATTTTTTTAAATCTATTTTTTTTTTCTTCAGTTGGGTAGACAGTATAATTTCACATAACTTTTACTTGAAAAAATTTTCACGATCGCTTATAATTTTTGAAAAAAAAAAATATTTTCGTTATTTTTTAACGTTTTAGTACCTTCGGAAAATGTATTACAACTTTTGACACATAGTAGCTAGGTTAATAGTACAAACTATGTTATGTCCCTCTTGATTTGCTATTCCTCGAGCAGTAATCACTGCTATGCTTTAGTTAGTGGTTCTTTTTTAATAATGGTGTAAATTAACAGTTGTATTAAATTAGTTTTAAAAGAAAAACACTATCCACAATTAAATTTCACATCCGGTATAACCGGAAGTACAAAAAGAATTTCATGTCGTAATAATCCGTTTTAGCGACCTAACTATGCATTCCAAATGGTTTTCTTATATCACCAATAATAAAGAAAAATATGGGGGTGAGCCACTTTTGAGGGACACCCGGTATAGTATTTTTTTTGCATATTTTGATAGAGAATAAATCCCCCGCGATAAACATATCAAATCATGGTTGTATAAGAAAAAATCGAGAAAAAAAAATGCGTTTTCTGAAAATATTATATCAGCAAATTAGAATCAAAGTAGGCGTTGAAATGACGTCGTTGATAGCTTTTAATGGCAAAAAATTGACAGTTTCAACAAATTATGAAATATTAATGATGACCCATACACGCTGATAGAAAGCGCACTCTAAGTGAAGTTTGTACACTGTTCAATAATATTTACACGGATGCACAGATTACACAAAACGTGGATCACAAAAACTGAAATTCTTTAAAAAATCTAAGCCGAGATATGGAAACTACACATATGTTCAAATTGGGCACCATTTACACCCAAACAAGTTTGAAGACGACGCCGACGTCTAAAGCTATCCACATTACTCAAAAGAATATCAACTNGATATCCATTTCCGGTAGAAGCGGAAGTCCGCCATTACTGAAACTAATTTTACAATATGTACAATATGGTTCGATTCAACTTTTATCTGAAACATTTTTCGAAAAACTCAATCATAATTCGGCTATGGACCGAGGCAACTTAGGTGGGACACCCTGTATACCTAAGCAATGCTTAGGTATACCTACAGTATACCTAAGCAATGCTTAGGTATACTGTTTTACATGCGGTTACTCCCCCAACATGACTGCAACTAAATTCTATTTGTCTATATCGATGGAGTATGCACTTTCAAAGTAATATTATTCAATAATATACAGGTTGTGTCAAACATCTGGAATATAGCCAATAACTTGGCCATTTGTGGTTTTAAAGAAAAATGTTTCAAATAAATGTTTCTTTGTTAATTGTGGCGCATTTTTTCGCGATATTTGCTTGTTTGCATTATTTTTGTTTCGTTGCTATGGTAACCAACATTGTTATTTTAAATGGAATGTATATAGTATTTTTTTTGCATATTTTGATAGAGAATAGTTCCCCGGCGATAAACATATCAAATCATGGTTGTATAAGAAAAAATCGAGAAAAAAAATGCATTTTCTGAAAATATTACAACAGCAAATTAGAATCAAAGTAGGCGTTAAAATGACGTCGTTGATAGCTTTTAATGGCAAAAAATTGACAGTTTCAACGATTATGAAATATTAATGATGTATGGGCACGCTGATAGAAAGCGCACTCTAAGTGAAGTTTGTACACTGTTCAATAATATCTACACGGATACACAGATTACACAAAACGTGGATCACAAAAACTAAAATTCTTTAAAAAATCTAAGCCGAGATATGGAAACTACAACATATGTTCAAATTGGGCACCATTTACACCCAAACAATTTTGAAGACGGCGCCGACGTCTAAAGCTATCCACATTACTCAAAAGAATATCAACTGAGATTTGTTGCATTACAGTTGTTATTCTCTCACATAACTAATTAAGATTTTAATGTCGCTTCTCGTACACTCTGTCTTTCAAGTAACCCCACAAAAACAAGTCTAAAGACAATAAATCAGGTGACCTAGCTGGCCATTCAATTGGTCTTCGTCTGCCAATCCACTTCCCAGGAAAACGTACAATTAGGTACTGCCACAACTGGTCCAAGCCCATAGTGAACCATTGCATATCTTTTTGTACTGATTGCTATTTGATTGCATTTGTCGTAATTTAAGTAAAGGAAATTTTTTGAGCAATAAATTTGTAATCTATCTAGATCTATTTGTAACCTTTGACAATCAGAAGTGATTGAACTTCGAGATTATTTTACAATCATCACCGTAAAGCAGAAAAACACTATAGTGGAAGCATTCATATACAGGTGTTTCTAAATTGATGCGATGGATGATTTTTCAGCGAAAATTAAGGGGTGTCTTTCATACAGCTTTTTATACCTCTTCTACTCCAAGTCTCTATACAAAGGGGTGAAAAAATCCCTATAATATTTTGCATCAGAACTTTTTAATGCGTTTCTTTTTTTTATTTAAAAAGTTTTAGACGTATTGAAAATAACATTTTATTGAAAGAAAATATTTATTTTTATTTGGTATTTTCTATTTAGTTGAAAAATAGTTCATACTTACCTATTGTAAATTAGGAAATATCACAATAACAAATTGAACAATAATGTGGCAGTGTTAACAAGGCAGCAGAAGAACATAATACAAGCGACTGCAATGGAGTATATGAGGAGAATTAGAGCAATTACGAGAGAATACAAAATGAGAAACATAGCTATAAGGCAAGAATTGGGTGTTGAATCTATACTGGACTTCATCGAGAAAAAACTGATAAGCTGGTGAGGTAATAGACCGATCAAAAAAGATTTGGTACCAAAAGTGCAGAAGAAAAGAAGACGGTTAGACCACGATAAATATGAGACGAGTCATGAAAGAAGTATTGGAGAAGAGAGGAATAAATTGGACGGAAATTTTAATATTGGCGAGAAACAAGAAAAAATGGAAGAAATCGGTGGATAGTATTTAAAGTTAATACCCAACACATTCATAATTACTTTCATGAAACAACAGTTTTCGTTTTTTATAACAATTGTATATTTTTAACATACTTTAAACTATGTACAAAAATGCTGATTAAAATCGGGATTAAAAGAGTTAATATAAGAATTTTTCGCGAATAAGATATTTTTTAATCTACTGAAATTGGATCATCTTCATCGCTGGTTAATGTCATTTCTTCGTTTGAATTAGAGCTGGTTGCACTACTTTCCGGATGCATATCAGACATATGCCTAGATTTTAAGTGTCTATCAAGGTCTCTTCTTCGTACTAAAACTTTTCCGCATAAATCACATCTGTAAACAATATAGGTTAAAGAATAAATATAGAATAAATTAAATTAAACATTTTCATACTTATAAGGTGTATCTCCAGCAGCGTGTAACCTAACGTGTTTATTCAAATTACTCGGATCTCCGAACGGTCTTAAACAGTATTTACACTTTAAAGGTTTATATCCAGTATGTGTCCTAATATGTATTTTTAATCCATATTTCCTTGAATAGCATTTGCCGCAATATAAACAAATGTGACCTTGTTTCGATTTTCCTAATGTACTAAACAATGTTTCGATTTCCGCTTCATCTTCAGGTCGTTGATGATGTGTCGTTGGGGCAAAATCAAAAGGTACTGGAATAAAATCTTCCGGATATGATATCGACATTGGCCATTGTGGATAAAATTGATTTTGATCCGGTATTTGAAGATTATTTGTTGGTGGTTTTTTAATAAATGGTTTAAAAGCTGATTCTAAATTATTTTTTTCTAAGTTACTTTTTTCTAAATTATTTTTCTCTAAATCATTTTTTCCTAAAGTGTTCTTTTCTAAATTATTTTCTTTTAGATGTGAATGTCGTGAATCGGATGATGTTGGAGAATTTGTTACCGTTAAATCGATGGCATTTTTCTGGTTTTCATGTTTCCCAGCAGTGTTATTGAAAAGTTTAAAATTAAATTCTTGTTTTGTGTGGTTTATATGAGAAGTATTTTCGGGTAACATATTTGATAATTTACTCCATAACCATGATATTGCATGTTTTCCGCAGGATAGTGTTACATGAAGTTTCAATGGATTCGGCGATTCGTACATTGCTGAACATTTCGTGCAAACATATTTTTTTTGACCTTGAAAAAAAAATAATACAGTCAAATCTCTATATAATGGACCTCGTTAGAACAGACTTCCGATATAACGGACAAAATATTTTTAAGTTATACAATTAATATTATCTATTTAATACATCAGTATAGTTAAATATAAATGTTGGCGCTCATACATAGAATCCAAGTTGGGTTATTCCCTAAGTTGCTTTATTCATTGTTCATAGATAAACTCGGGGTGTTCCCCGAGTTGTCTACTCGATGTATAAATCAAGGCAGATAGTTTTATTTTTAATTGTCATTCAGCGCTAGATTGTTGTATATTTTTATTGAACTAAAACTAATTAGAAACATTCGAGTTTAGCCGTCTTAAAAAACGCACGGCTAAACCCGAATGTATCTAGGTCCAGTGTTAGTTCTATTGCTAATGTTTGTGCTAGTTTTAGTTGTTAATCCGCGTTAGATTGTTGTATAGTTTTCATTGATCTAAAACTAGAACTAACACTAGACCTAGAACTAGAAAGTTTCGGGTATACGCACTGCTAAACCCGAATGTTTTTAGTTCTATATCTAGTGTAGTTCTAGTCAGCGTTGCCAACCTATGCTGGCCAAATGTCGTTAGAATCGATGGTAAAAATTCGGTAGGTATCGTAATAAATTGGTAGGTTTAAATATAAAGTCAGAAATTGATGATTGATAAAGGTTTACGAATGAATCCCAAATAATTTAGCATAAAAAATTGTTTATCGCTTTTAGTTTTTCTGGAAAATGGGTCAACTTTGTATTTTTAAATAGAGCAGCACAAATGTTTCATATTTTATTCTTAACAATATTGCTCTTTTGTACTTTTGCTCTCAGGCGCATAGCTATCGGGAATAATACGAAAAAATGAAAATTTGATGAATTTCATTGTTTTACAAGTTGTTAATGATAACACTTGGGAATCGGATCATGTTATAAAAAATCTTTTAAAACAAAAGATGTTCCAAATTTCATTCTTAACAATATAGCTCTCTTGTACTTTTGATCTCAGACGCATAGCTATCGAGAAAAATACGTATGAATTAAAACTTGAAAAATTATCATTGTTGTATAAGTTGTTAAGGGTAATACTCGGGAACCGGGGCATGTTTTAAAAAACTTTTAGAACAAGAGTTGTAGTAAATTTTATTCTTAACAATCTATCTGTTATGCATTCGCAGATGCTTAAATATCGAGAAAAATATGAAAATTGGCTTAATTTGCTGCATTTTCCAGTTATAAATGATAACAAAGTAAACACTCGGGAAACGAAACATATTACAAAAAAACCAATGGAACGAAAGTTATAGCAAATTTTGTTCTTAACAATATTGCTCTCCTGCACTTGCTCTCAGACGCATAGCTATCGAGGGAAATATGAAAAAATGAAAATTTGATGAATTTCATTGTTTGACAAGTTGTTAACGATAACACTTGGGATCCGAATCATGTTATAAAAGAATTTTTAGAACAAAAGCTGTTTCAAATTTTGTTCTTAACAATACTGCTCTCTTGCTCTTTTGTTCTCAGACGCATAGCAATCGAGAAAAATACGAAAAAATTAAAAGTTGAAGAATTTCATTGTTTTACAAGTTATTAATGATAACACTTTGGAATCGGATCATGTTATAAAAAAACTTTTAGAACACAAGATGTTCCAAATTTTATTCTTAACAATATTGCTCTTTTGCACTTTTGTTCTCTGACGCATAGCTATCGAGAAAAATACGAAAAAATTAAAATTCGATGAATTTCATTGTTTTACAAGTTGTTAATAATAACACTTGGGAATGGGATCATGTTATAAAAAAACTTTTACAACAACAGTTGTTTCAAATTTTATTCTTAACAATATTGCTCTCTTGCACTTTTGCGGTCTGACGCATAGCTATCGAGAAAAATACGAAAAAATTAAAATTTGACAAGTTTCATTGTTTTACAAGTTGTTAATAATAACACTTGGGAATGGGATCATGTTATAAAAGATCTTTTAGAACAAAAGATGTTTCAAATTTTATTCTTAACAATATTGCTCTCCTGCACTTTTGTTCTCAGACGCATAGCTATCGAGAAAAATACGAAAACTTAAAATTTTTTAAATTTCATTGTTCTACAAGTTGTCAGTGATAACACTTGGGAATCAGATCATATTATAAAAATACTTTTAGAACAAAAGTTGTTTCAAATTTTGTTCTTAACAACATTGCTCTCCTACACTTGCTATCCGACGCATATCTATCAAGAAAAATATGAAAAAAAGAAAATTTGATGAATTTCATTGTTTTACAAGTTGTTAATGATAACACTTGGAAATCGGATCATGCTATAAAAGATCTTTTAGAACAAAAGATGTTCCAAATTTTATTCTTAACAATATTGCTCTCTTGCACTTTTGCAAAATGTCGGTGTTTTACAAGTTGTTAATGATAGCACTTGGGAATCGGATCATGTTATAAAAAAAGTTTTAGGACAAAAGATGTTCCAAATTTTATTCTAAACAATATTGCTTTCTGACACTTTTGTTCTCAGACGCATAGCTATCGAGAAAAATACGAAAAAATGAAAATTTGAGGAATTTCATTGTTTTACAAGTTGTTAATGATAGTACTTGGGAATCGGATCATGTTATAAAAAAAGTTTTAGGACAAAAGATGTTTCAAATTTTATTCTTAACAATATTGCTCTCTTGCACTTTTGTTCTCAGATGCATAGCTATCGAGCAAAATACGAAAAATTGAACATTCGATGAATTTCATTGTTTTACAAGTTGTTAATGATAACACTTGGGAATCGAATCATGTTATGAAAGATCTTTCAGAACAAAAGATGTTTCAAATTTTATTCTTAACAATATTGCTCTCTTGCACTTTTGCTCTCTGACGCATAGCTATCGAGAAATATACGAAAAAATTTCATTGTTTTACAAGTTGTTAATGAAAACACTTGGGAATCGGATCAAGTTATGAAAGATCTTCTAGAACAAAAGATGTTTTAAATTTTATTCTTAACAATATGGCTCTCCTGCACTTTTCTTCTCAGACGCACAGCTATCGAGAAAAATACGAAAAAATTAAAATTTGTTGTAATTGTAAAGTTGTTGCATTTTCAAGTTGTTAATGGTAACAAAGTAAACACTTGGGAAACGGAACATTTAACAAAAAATTTTTAGAACGAAAGTTATAGCAAATTTTATTCTTAACACTATTGCTCCCTTGCACATTTGTTCTAAGACACATAGCTATCCAGAAAAATGCGAAAAAATGAAAATTTGATCAATTTCATTGTTTTACAAGTTGTTAATGATAGTACTTGGGAATCGGATTAAGTTATAAAAAAAGTTTTAGAACAAAAGATGTTCTAAATTTTATTCTTAACAATATTGCTCTCTAGCACTTTTGCTCTCTGACGCATAGCTATCCAGAAAAATGCAAAAAAAAGGAAAATTTAATGAATTTCATTGTTTTACAAGTTGTTAATGATAGTACTTGGGAATCAGATTATGTTATAAAAAAAGTTTTAGAACAAAAGATGTTCTAAATTGTATTCTTAACAATATTGCTCTCTTGCACTTTTGTTCTCAAACGCATAGCTATCGAGAAAAATACGAAAAAATGAAAATTTGAAAAATTTCATTGTTTTACAAGTTGTTAATAGTAACACTCGAGAATCGGGGCATATTTTAAACAACTTTTAGAAGAAGAGTTGCAGATGCTTAAATATCGAGCAAAATATGAAAATTGGATTAATTTGTGCCTGTTCAAGTTGTTAATGGTAACAAAGTAAACACTCGGGAAACGGAACATACTACAAAAAACTTTTGGAACGATAGTTGTAGCAAATTTTATTCTTAACACTATTGTTCTCTTGCATTTTTACGAAAATATGAAAATTTGATGAATTTGTTGCTTTTTCAAGTGATTAAAGATAATCCTTAGAAATCGCAGTATGTTACAAAAAAAATGTTAGTACAAAAGTAGTAGCAAATTTTATTCTTAACACTATTGTTCTCTTGCACTTTTGCTCTCAGATGGATAGATATCGAAAAAATACGAAAATATGAAAATTTGATAAATTTCATTGTTTTACAAGTTGTTAATAAGACTTGGGAATCAGATCATGTTATAAAAAATCTTTTAGAACAAAAGTGATAGCAAATTTTATTCTTAACAATATTTTTCTCTTTTACTTTTGCTCTTAGATGCGTTAATATTGAGAAAAATACTAAAGTAGGAAAATTTAATGAATTTATTCCTTTTTCAAGGTATTAATGATAACACTCGAGAATCGGAACATTTTACAAAAGAATTATTGGAATAAAAGTTTCACTTTTGCTCTTGGATGGCATAAATAATAATGGAAGTTTTGAAAATCCGGTAGATTAAGTCATATATTGGTATATCTGTAGATTATCTTCTATATCAGTAAATATACCGATAAATCGGTAGGGTTAGCAGGTTCTAGTGCTAGTGTTAGCTCTAGTTTTAGTTGTTATTTACGGCTAAATTGTTGTACATTATTATTGAACGAAAAGTAAAACTAACACTAGACCTAGAACTAGAAACATTTGGGTTGTACCACAGAATAACAGAATAAGTTGCTCTGTTGTCGTACGTCTGTTAAGACGGCTAAACCCATAACTTTGTAGTTCTAGGTCTAGTGTTAGTTCTAGTGCTAATGTTAGTTCTTGTTTTAGTTGTTTAATGCTAGATTGTTATGTTCATTGAACTAAAACTAGAACTAATTAGTAAAGAACGCAACGGTGTGGATAGCTGTTCGAATTTGTGTGCATTAAAATTATTCATTCAAACAGTTTCCATAAACGAGCTTTTTTTTACGTACTACTCCGTTATATCGAGGTTTAGCATTTTAAAAAATTGCAAAATAATTCGCAGCCGGTAGGATTCGAACCTACGCTCCCAAAGGGAATCTGATTTCGAGTCAGACGCCTTAACCACTCGGCCACGACTGCTATAAAACTTTTTAATGCAAACTCCACATTCCCATTAAAAAAGATTAATATTTAAAAGAATTATTTACCTTGAATATTAGAAGGAGTTAAAAATACAATTTGCAGCATGGCTAAAATTTCCTCGGAAAACCATAGTAATAATTCTTGACCGGGTTCGATCGGCCGAACACATTGCAACACCAAAGACGATTGAAAGTTTGATCGAATCGAAGAGGTTGATTGTTTCGTTGATGTTAAAAGTCTTAATTGTATATTATAACTATGACAATCATCCGAAAGTCTTAAAGCTCGTATCCAATGGATATCATCTTTCCATGAAGATCGGGATGTTTTTTCTAATTCTATCGTACCAAAACAATTTACTCCAACTGATATCTAAAAAAATGTTAAATAACATTTAATCTTTTTACTCAAAAGTACAAAGCAAATAAAATATTTTTATGATTCACTTTATTTCTATTTATTCTAAAGATTTAAGAAGAATTATTTGAAGAATTATTACCTGCACAACATCCGGTTGTCCTTTTAATTTTTCAGCAACAATCGGCATCGACATGGCACCTTGAGGAATATTACCCGTTGCTGTAACTCTTCCCGGAACAAGAAGTTTTGATGATGATTCTCCGGAGGCAGCCGTCATCGTTAACGAATTGATGGTTTTCGTTCTATTTTCAAAACTTGGAAACATTAAAAACTTTTTTTCGAACCTTTCTTTTGGCAAAGTGCCAAAAAGTTATTAAAAAAATTGATTGATGACAACTTCTAATTGTTTCTAGGATGTTTAAAATTCTCTTCTTAAACGCAGAAATTTAAGAAAAAAGTATAATGTATTCTGGGAATTAGAATTTTTCGAGGAATCATTGAGGCAGCAGGTTGTAGCAGGACTGGTTAGTTGATGGTGGTGTCGTATCAATTTTAACTATCACCCACCATTTAACCACCACCACCGCCAGAAAGAATTAAATAAAGAGATGGGATGGGCTTCAAAAACACCCTCCCTTTTTGATTCAGCAGGAATCATGAATGATGAATTAAAGTTATGCTTGATTTATTGATTTAAAAAAAAAGGAATTAACCCAAATTACATGAAAATAGTTCTTCTAACTAAAACTTTTTTGCATAAATTTTAAAACAAGTGCATCCCTATTATCATTAAATTAACACAATACTCTTTGGGCGTGTAGCACGTGTTTTATTTCCCGTACACGTGACACCGTCCCCATGGCACTTGCAGAATCAGTGGTCCTTGCAGATTGAAGGGTGATATTAGTAGATCCACCCTCTTTTGGGTCGGTGTATAACGTGTAGCAGCTGTCTAAAGGAAACCCACAGGTGCAGTGGCAACAGCAGTCACCGCATCCCGCAGGATCTGATCAATTACGACTCGTTTTGTCAACTTTTGATCTTCGTTTCGATATCATGGCAACCCCTCGAAAAACGTTTTATTGCATTGATAAAAATAAAAATAAACTCTGATTGTGTTTTAAGATTGTTATCAAAAATTAATGTTTATGGAAATCTTTCAACACAAAAGAAATCGATTAAGATAACGATCGTTGAGATAATTTGATTACAAAAATTGTTTAACAAATTCTTGAAAATAAAATATAAACTCAATTGGTGTAATTGTTGCAAACATAATCTCAATCGAAATAATTCAAAATATTAAATTATTATCATTGTTTTAATATCTAAAACGTAATAAGGAGGTTAAAATCATCGTGAAACGTTTAAATTGACTGATGTCAATATATTACTTTTGCGTTAAAAATAATTAGTAAATTTTGATTAAGTTGTTGGGTGCTCAAAAGGCCATATAAATCTAAATTCCAAACGCAAACACCACCCCTAATCCAAAAAGTAAACACAAGTACGCGGACGGTAAAAAGAGAGGGAGAAAGAGGAAAACAGTCCGGCTGCACCTTTCAACAATAAACAAATCGTATTAAGATTAAAATTAGGAATCAATCGGGCGTATGTTTTAAAAGAACCCCACCCTCCGAGGCCCGGGGGTTTGCAAAAATGGTTATTTAATATGCCAACGAATAGGGGAGTGAAACCAAGCGATCACTCGTCCGTATCTATTAAAAGTGTAAAGGGGACACTCTATATAGTTCAATTACTACCAACAGTTCATTCACCATTTGTAAAACGTTTTGAAAAGATGGGTTATTTTTTTATATGTTTCTTAGATCTTAATTCCTAATTCATTCTGAAAGAAATATTATAATATTTGAAGCTTGTGAAACGTTTACAATAATTTAATAAGCAATACAATAAGCAAAAAATAACATAGACGTTCATTTTTCTGAAAGAATATTCCCCGAATTTTAATCGAATTCATTCCTTACTTTATGTGCAGGATGGTGTCTAAATTTTGATGGGTTTGTAGGGTATCTCAGTTATTATGAAAGATCGAAAGTTGCGGTTTTCGCGAACCTGAGCTACTTTTTTGTAAAACTTACAATGCCGCAAACCAAATTTTCATATTAGTGTTTCAAAATTTATCACGGCTATCCGAAAACTTAGTAAAAAAGTAAAAACGGGTTCTAATAGATTTTTTCACGTAGAATGCAATGGTGCACGTAAAATTTCTTTTGTCATCACGGTCTTTGAGTTATAAATACAACTTAGGTTTTTTTTAAATGGAACCACCTATATTTTATTCTTTTATTGAATTATATTTTTTTCAAGCTTTTCATGGATATATAATACTCTATATCTTTGAACTCTACCTTTGTAATTAACCTCGAAATTTAATATAATACATTATTTTATAAGTAGGCTATGATAAATTAAGTGATCACGTTGCTAGGATACCGGAATAAATGAAGTAAATTTAGTTAATTACTACTTCAACTTAATTTTGAATTTTGTACTAACAATAAGTCGAGTGTTACTTGATTTCTGGTAGTGCTTTAAAACATCAATATGTTGTATTGTTATTAATTACCTTTTTCTTGATATTGAGCGCTATGAAAATTATGAAAAGTATGACATGCTAGCATGTTACATTCATGCGAATGAAAATTTAAATCAAGCTGCTGAATTATACATAAATAGGTAGAATGTAACATTTATAAGCAATAACATTTTAACCGGTGAAACGATAGCAACAAACCGCCCAGCAACAAACTTTTTCCTTTGTATTTCCACCTACTTCTATTGCCCATATTTTCGTTATCTAGAAAGATAGCGAAAAACTAAGTACACGGTTAGAAAGCTTGGTCTTTTCTCTATCTTAAACCGAGTTTTCGTCCGTCGATATATTGATAATAAGAGCAAGAAGAAAATAGAAACGTCGCGCTGCATTCAATTTACCTCAAAATTATCAAATTTCACGACCTTGTGCAGCCGTTACCAGATGGAAATTCAATAAATGATTTACATATTCGGAAAGAGCTGACCTTGGACTATCTTATTCCGAGTTTTTGTCCGTCAATATCTGTTGGCGTCTGTCAAAAAAAAAGCTCCTGAAAAGTAGCCTACAGTTGGCAACAAACTTTACTTTTGTATTTCCATCTATGTACTTTTCGGACGGATATCTTTGTTATTTATAACGCTAGCGAAAAACTAAGCACACAGTTGGAAAGCTTGTTCGTTTCTCTATCTTAAACTTTCGTCCGCCGATATGTTGATAATGAGAACAAGAAAAAATAAGAAACGTCGCGCTGTCACGAATTTTTACCGCGGCTAACCACGTTTGGGTCAATAACTCTCTTATATGGCGGGGAGAAAACTCTAGAACTATATTCATCTTATGGGAAATTTTCTGCTCTTTTTATCGGTATATAACACATCTCAATCACACGTTTGCACAATCGTTTATCAGCCCAGCAACAAACTTTTCCTTTGTATTTCCATCTACTTTTCGGGCCAATATTTTGGTTATCTAGAATGATAGCGAAAAACTAAGAACACGTTTGGAAAGTTTGGTCTTTTCTCTATCTTAAACCAAGTTTTCGTCCGCCGATATGTTGATAAGATCAAGAAAAATAAGAAACGTCGCGCTGCATTCAATGTACCTCAAAATTACCAAACTTCCCGGCCTTGTGCAGCCGTTACCAGATGGAAATTCAATAAATGGTTTACATATTCGGAAAGAGCTGACCTATCTTATTCCGAGTTTTCGTCTGCCAATATCTATCAGCGTCTGTAAGAAAAACGCACCTGAAAAAGGTCTTACCGATGAAAACACGCATATATTTCTTGCATTAATAACTTTCCTATTTGACAGGGGGAAAACTCTACAACTATATTCAGCTTATGGGAAATTTCCTGCTCTTTCCAACGATGTGTGACACACCGTGATCACACGTTTGCACAATTCTTTTTTCTGACTATGAACTACCTAAACCACGAATTTTTACCGCGGCTAAACCACGCTTAGGTCAATAACTCTCTTGTATGACGGGGAGAAAACCCTAGAACTATATTCATCTTATGGGAAATTTTCTGCTCTTTCTAACGGTGTCCTATGCACTTCGCTTACGCGTTTTTTAAATTGATGAACTGAGTTAGAATGCAAAGTTGGTGACGTTACCAAATTCAAAACCATCAAAACACAATTCAACAATTCGAGTCTAAAGTCACTCAAATTCTTCCAGATTGTGATAAAATAGGTGTAACATGAAATAATCTTTCCGTTTTGAACAGTTTAACATGTTTCTAAACGTAAAACTAAAACTAGAACTAACACTAGCACTATCACTAGAACTATCACTAGACCTAGAACTAGAAACTTCCGGGTTCGCTTCCAACTTGTTTTCTGAAGAAGGTTGCAACATGGCACCCGAAACGTCAAACATTTTTTCAAAAAACGCACGGCTCAACCCGAAAGTTTGTAGTTCTAGGTCTAGTGTTAGTTGTAATGATAATGCTAGTGTTAGTTTTAGTTTTATTAACACCGGCCGTGAAAGCCTTCGTACTTATATGTTTTTAAACGGTTTTAAATAAATTAAGAGTGAATAAAATATTATCTGTCAACATGAAATGAAGTTAGGATTCTCTCTCGGGTAAAACTTTGTTCCAATGTTTCCTTCATCAAATACGAAAGTTAGGGTAAGAAGTGATTGGGTTCTGCTACCTGTAAGTTGTCTTTCAGGTGCGTTTCTTTTACAGATGCCGGCAGATATTGACGGCGTCTGTAAATGAAAACTCGAAATAAGACAGGCCAAGGTTACCTCTTTTCGAATATGTAAACCATTTGTTGAATTTCCTTCTGATAACGGCTGCAAAAGGCCTTAAAGTGGGGCAATTTTGAGGTGACCTAAATGAAAAGACCAAACTTTCCAACCGTGTTATTAGTTTTTCGCTATTTTTCTAGATAACGAAAATATTGGACCGAAAAGTAGACGGAAATACAAGGGGAAAGTTTGTTGCTGGGCTGAAAAACGATTGTGTAAACGTGTGATTGAGATGTGTTATATGCCGTTGAAAAGAGCAGAAAATTTCCCATAAGATGAATATAGTTCTAGAGTTTTCTCCCCGTCATATAAGAGAATTATTGACCCAAACGTGGTTTAGCCGCGGCAAAAATTCGTGGCAGCGCGACGTTTCTTATTTTTTCTTGCTTTCATTATCAACATATCGGCGGACGAAAACGCGGTTTAAGATAGAGAAAAGACCAAGCTTATGGGTCCTAGAAATAGGTGGAAATATAAAGGAAAAAGTTTGTTGCTGGGCGGTTTGTTGCTATCGTCTCCCTGGTAA